AGTATTGGGGCCATTCTGTCTTTTTGGAAACTGAGGCCCAAACAAACTGACTTCTCCAAGGTCCCAGAACAGTTAGGAGTTTAACCGAAGACTCCCTAATCCCAGTCTTCTATATTAAACACATAAGCAAGAAAAAACTTTAGGTTTTTTTTTGCTAGCAATGTAAAACATTTTCCAATGTGTTACCATCTTTTTGCATGTAGTGTCAGTTAATATGGGCATGCAGCCTCACTGTTTTTTTCCAAGTCATAAATGATGAAAGGGTAAAACCCATAGAAAAATTAGGAAAATACACTTGGCAGCCAACACAAGCAATGCATAGGAAGTGCTGCAGGCAATTGGGTTTAGAAGTATAAACATCACATTAGTAGACCCATGAGATAGCATGATGTAGCCACACCTGGAGAGTCACTCTCCTATTCCCGTCCCAACCCACTAATGAAAACAAGGCTGAAGCCAAAATGTGAAGATTCAACTGTACAACATCATTTTTGGTCTCAAAGGCTAACTACATCAAACAAACGTAAAATAAGCTGGATTCACTTCAGCCAAAATATGTTTCTACTTGAAACAAGATCGAGTTCTGTCTAGAAGACCTCAGGATTTTACTAGATGCTGTAAATCTGTTCAGCAGCTGTGGGTGGCACCAGTTTCACAATAAACTGGGCTGTCGAATAAGTAGGAAAAGTCCTAGGTGAAATAGCTGAAAGCTGAACAATGAAACAATCATCAATTATTCATGGCTCTTTCCTGTAGGAAACATGTGCCCCCATTAGCTGAATATCACAGTGAAATATTCATACTAGTATCTGGCTCACAAAATACCAAGCATTTAATTTGCTAACCATTTTAAGAATAAAAGCGAAGAACCAAACCACCCCACAACAACCTTTTCCCCCCCAAAAAAAAATGGTTAAATAACAATCAGTTTTGTTTTTTTTTTTTAAGAAAGAAAAACACGAAACAACCACAGAAAATGCTCCAAGCATCCAATTGCATCACAAAAGTAAATGTCTGTATTCCTGTAACTCTCAGCATGCACAGGTCTCTAGGAGCTGTTTTAGCTAAGGGTTGGCAAATTAATCCTAGGACACCATTGGTGAGGTCTGGGGCACATACCAATGCAGACAGTGGAAACTCACCTGTGGGTGCTCCACCCAAGTCATAATACAATTTATTCTAACACAGGAAAGGCAAACCAGCCTTTAGCTTGTAGCCTGTATTAACCTCAAAGCCACACAAACTACTGCAACAAAGAATTCCCACTACAGGCATCACATCTAATTGAAACTAGCTGAAGAAAGTTGGATGTTTGATCCTAATGAGGCAATAGCTTGCTGATCATCAGAACGTGTTCCAGCAAAAACCCTACAGTTGATTCGGTCACCCAGGGGATTACAAAATGCATATTTTCCAGTCACATCCCTGCAAATATCATTGACTGTAGAGATGAACCCCCCCCCCTCAGAAATCTGCTACTAGGCTCATCTGTCGCACAGAATTAAGGCTGTCCTCTGCATTCCTCTTATATGCCATCCTTTGCTCACCTGTTCCTCCTTGCTACATGTTCCCACTCTTGTAGCTCTTCCAGAATAATCTCACTTGTCATGAGTACTTAACCTGCTTCTGTCAGAATGATCTAAAATATTATTAAACTGTTTCTATGTTAATATGGGTCACTTTAGCAGAACCAGAGTAGAAAGACACTACACACAAAGTCACGCCTGTACACCAGGTGAGGAGAAGGAAAGGCAGTGACCAAGGGAGGAGCTGGCTTGGACAATGATTCCTTAATCTGGCTCAGCTGCATTCCACCTGATGAAAGTCTCAGTAGCCCTGATAGTGAAAGGTGGATCTTCTATGAAGACTTCCAAGCATGATTCTTTCTATTTATCTGGCTAGAATAACAGGCCTGAGCTTGGGCTGAATAAGTCATGGGGGGGGGGGGGGGGGGGGGGAGGGAATCCAAAATACCCCTGCAGTTGTGAAAAGAAGGCATGTTATAAATATTTCTTTCTCAAAAGGGAAAAGAAAACAAACCAAAACCAAAGACAAGCATGTAACTCAAGTTCAGCAGAAAACTGTCTATTTGACAGCTGTGATAAGTTTAGAAGAAATAATGCATGATTTCAAAATACTACTTTTCAGTGCAATTCCTTACACAAAATTTTTTCAACTGCTTTCACTGCAGGCAAAAGAGAAAAAATGCTGTCAACATTAATAGTGCCAGAGAGCTGACATTTTGAAGATGATGCTCAACATGGCAGTGTACTTTTCCAAACCATTAGGAGAATGTTATGGATCAACTTTGGAGCATGCAGTCTGTCTAATCCCCTTACATCCTCCAAAATGGATTTAAAATACACACAAACTCCAAATGCCCAATTCTGCCACAGTGAACCGCATCCAAGATTACAACTGTCCTTTTTGATTTGTTGCCAGTAGCACAGGTTCCTACTCTGCACTTTTTGTTTACTAATATTTTTCGAACAGATTGCAGTCATACCAATAAAGATGTGCTTTCTATGGCCACAGTCCTGCTCCTTAAATGGTACCCATTACATGGAACACCTTCAAAACCAAGTCAGATGCAGTTCTGGTAAGTTAAGGAAATGCCCTGAGGAACCCTTGCGGGACTGCAGCGACTTCTATATTCCACAGTCCTCAGTCCCCTCTAGAGGGAGTCCCCTAACTACTCTAAGGAATAGAGAACATTGCCCAGGACACCACATAATCTTCTGATTTCATTCTGCCTCTATTTGACCTTTCCTCTGAAGAAGCTGCATGATTTTGGGGAAAAGTGTAACATTACCCGGATTTCTTTTCTTCAAAAGTTACTTACGAGTAAGTCATTTTGCATTATCTTGTCCTTTCTTGGCCTCAAACAGGCAGCACATGAATACCATTCATGGCAAGAGAAAGTGGTCTTCCCTGTACTGAAAAGATTTGTTAGCTTCACCATTTATAATCTGAAAAATGAGACCTCGATCGAGTGTTACAAACTTCATGTAGTCAGTCTCTGCTGCTTTCTCTGCTCATGGTGGAGGAATACATGCGAGGGAGTTAGGCTAGGACTCAAAAAGTAAGCTAAATTTTTTTCAAAGCAGTGCGCATTTGTTTCCCTACTGCAGCACAAGAAGAGATGAATGACCACTCAATGCAATACTTCATTTATGTATCTGATATCTCAGTTAGTTGCGTATGACTTTTCTATTAAGATACACAGACACCTAGTACTAAAAGAAAATATTTGCAATAGAAAGAAAACATTAAAAGATTTTGCAAAAATTGGACTCCTGTTAGCAAACAGGAACTTTTTACAGCCCAGAGGAAAAATTCTCAAATCACATAGAGCAGGGAATGCAAGAGCAGTTTGAGAATCACTACTTAGATCAACAATTCCTGTTTCTGACTTTACGTACAAAGTAATCTATTCTCTATAGCAGTACCAGGGTATTTAACTCACTATGCTGGCCAGTAAAAACTACAAACAAGGCTCCTACTTATTCTCCCTCATACATCTTTTATTGAGAGAACAGTGGTCTTTTGAGTCTGTTCTCCTCCTTATGCCGTCTGCTATAGAGGATATAACTTGTAGAAAAAAAAAGGTGCTTAACTTCCCCCTATAGGTGCATAAGGCAAGCGATGACCTAGCCCTACATATGCTATATATTACAAAGTCGTTATGCTTGCCCTAAGTGTCTCTTTTTTCCTTTTTTTCTTTTTTTTTCAACACCATATGGTACTATTTATCTTTGTGGGTACAAATAAAAATAAAGACTTCTTGAAACCACATTTGATTTATTCCTGACCACTGTAAAATCAGTAATAGAATACACTGTCAAACCACTGGCATGGAATGTGAATAATGTCTGTCCTCCATTCTGACTTCCCTTTCACACAAACATGCAACTACATCACAGAATATGAGGCCAGAAGAAAGACTCATGCCAAAGTTTGGGTCCACTGTACACAACCATTGCAAACACCATTTACCCGAGCAAGTTTCACAAATTCAGTTGTTCTAATAGAAGGTCTTAATGGATTGACAATTATGGGCCAGAGGACAAGGGGTAATGGGTTAAAACTTAAACAGGGGAAGTTTAGGTTGGATATAAGAAGGAAATTCTTTCCTGTTAGGGTGGTGAGGCACTGGAATGGGTTGCCCAGGGAGGTTGTGAATGCTCCATCCCTGGCAGTGTTCAAGGCCAGGTTGGACGAGGCCTTGGGTGATATGATTTAGCGTAAGGTGTCCCTGCCTGCGGCAGGGGGGGTTGGAACTGGATGATCTTAAGGTCCTTTCCAACCCTAACGATTCTATGATTCTGTGACAACAAAAGCTAACGGAAAAAAAAGCATACTGTTCCAAGAAGCCAAAGAAGTGAATTAGTGTTTTGACGCAAGCTACTGTGATGGCCAATTAAGAGTACTACCGAGGTTACTAGAAGCTGCTATCCAAAAGAATGAGGGAGTGGGGGAACAAAAGCACCAAAAAACACACTTAAAGCAAGGTGCTGACTCTTCCAGCATCTACCAGTCAGAAAGTATTTTCAGAATTAGACCCTAACCTATTAAAATTCTTCATCAAGGTAGCAAATTACTCATGAATCCACAATATTTTAAACCTCTGTAGCTGAATATTCATATTATCCCCAAGTGCTTAGATCACTTCAAATGGGCACATGGGAAATATGTGATGCTCAATTTGTGGTTAGTTACTAATGCAACAACATTCTACATTAATGAAACTCCTGATGTGCATTAATTACTGTACTGGCTTGTAACGCATTTTTGTGCCTATTAGTTTGCTAATACATAGAATAAAAATAAGCATGTATGACTTGTGTGATTAAGGAATTGTGAGCCACAGCTCATTTAAATTTAGAAAAACCGGACTGTATTAAGAAACCATGCAGGTTTCTCACCAGTGCCTCTTGTGCATGAGAAGATGCCATTAACAAAATGTATCAGCACATCTGAGTTCCTAGAAATGAACTTACCTTGGAGTCCCTAGAAATTTCTGTGATCTCAGTTGTTCAGACACATACAAAGATGCTGCTGTTGCCAGGAGTTCTCTTCTTTCGAGATCTGTCAACTTATGCCCTAGTTTTCAGAAAGCAGTTAAAGAAAATGCATTAGATATCACAGACCAACAAGGACATAAAAAGTAACAACTACCAGTGCAGACACTGAACAGTCCTTACGCAAAACTTGTATTTTCTCCCCCCTAAATTAAGATGAGGCTTAGCACAGCAGACGCTCTGAGTTTCATAGTTTAAATTGCATGTTTTCACACAGATCAGCCCTACTGCTAACACTGGTATCTCTGTTAAAAACAATTTGACAACTGAAAGAAAAAAAAAATGGAATGATGCTGCAGCATCTTGTTTTCGTTACTGAAATGTCACTGGTTGACATATTGTGCCTCATGCTGGTAAGGAATCCATCTGTACATTAGAACTTACTCAAAATATACAGCATTCTTTTTCAGTACTTTACCTTGCAAAGACTTCAGAACTTCCAAGCAAAAGGGATGTATAACTCAACAGTATAAGCCCCAGAAATACATGGGGATAAAGCTATTGTCAGCCCTAGGTCATTTAGTGCCATTTGTGTAATCATTAGTTTGCAGCTAATGGAGTTGAGTCATGTTTGGCACTTCATAAGCAGAAAATGGCTCAAAGTAGCCTACAATCTGAAAGCACACAAGCTAATAAAGGTTTGGATAAAAAGGTGCAAACCAGGGTGAGTGGAAGTGGCTTTTCTCCCAACCTGGTTTTGCTCCAGGAAGTAAAGATTAGTTAGAAAATCAATTGTCCATTCAGCAGGCTAAAAGACAGAGCACAGTACCCTCCCCACCTTCAGGTTAGAAACCACACAACACCAATTTGATATGAAAAACCAGCAAATAGGTGGCCAAGACTTGTGTCACCAGAGAAGTAAAACAGTCAAAACTGATGCAAGAGGGAGCAAAAGGACAAGTACTCAGTTCATAAGGCAGTAGCAGGAAATTAAAGTTGACATAGAAAGGACAAGAAGTGCAAGGCTGAATTGTCACAGAGAAAAAGAGGCAAACTTTATCTTCAGGAGAGAGATTTTGCACAGATGAAAGCAGAAGTGTTTAAAAAGCCAGAGGATAACATGATAAATGAAGTTAAGAAAAGATAAAGGTTAAGACTGAAAGATTTAGCTGAGCTCAGTTACAACACAGCTCTCAAGACGTACTTTATATGTACATATCACAGCAAATGCAAATCATCCATGTCAAATACAGATTTCACTGAAGTTGAAGGTATGTGGGAGGAGGGGAAGGGGTTCAGTAGGCTGCATTCTCCTGAGCAACTGTGCCCAGGGGACATGTTTGCTTCCAGTCCTGCAGCAGAAAAACAGTTACACAGCTCCCTTCTACATCACCAGTCTCTCATCACCTCAGCACTACTGCATGCAATATTAATTCACATTCCCTAGTACTGGTCACTAGCAAGTGACAGTTTGTATCAGTAACATAAAGTAAGACTAATACAATCCTCAAGAAAATCCAGAATGAGGCCTCTGGAAAGGACTGGAGCAGACTTTACAGTAACAAGTGCAAAATCTCAAAACAGGACATCTTCTGCACAGGACCCATTATTCCTCTGGGCATATTAAATATGAATAGGTAAAGAGGCTGCTTATTGTCCACCTCAGCAATGCAATCATGTCATGATGATGGAAATACACTCATTACAGTTCCAGCTAACAGTACAAAGGAGCTGTCACAGGACAAAAAATGAAAATTTAAAAATAACAAAAGCCAGCAAATCTGTATCAATCCATTTTTAATTCAGTCCATATTAACATATCCTGGCTAAAGATTACTGCAACTTCCCTTGCTCAGTGTTTATTATTTTTTATCTGCACTGAAATGAAAACTGTCTTCACTTTAACAAATGCATGCAGAAATACAAATGCTGGAAGGCTGAGTAAACAGCTTGAGAAACAAACTCGATCTTTCCTTTGCCAGTTATTTGAAAAACTGATTGCAAAGCAAAAGTCAAAAAACACTGAACTTTTGTCCTATATGCATATATACACACAGGCATATGTGTATATATAAACCTTATATGAATATACAATGCAGTAACATCAACTATCTGGCTCCAAAATGTGCCAATTTTTCAATTGTACACACAGGGAAGAAGCCCTGAGCTCATTTTTCCAAAATGTTGTATCTAAAATTGCTGATTTGTTTAAATGTCTCAGGTAAAGACACATCAGGAATCTACACTAAAACCTCTGCTTGTTAGTCACCCTGCCTAACATCCATGACAAGTCCATGTGACTGCATGTTCCCACCTGCTCCAACACACACTAATAGTATCAACTCATAAGAGAACAAGGTAAAACTAGAAAGATCCCAATTTGAAGGTCTTATTGCATGACTTTCATATTGGATTAAATCAATAACTGCTTTTGCACTTGCTGTGCTGCAAGAACTATTTTCTCCCTCTATCTTCAATAAAAATCAAACTCCAAGCAAGGAACAAAGGTCAATAATTTGAAACAGGTTAACAACTGATCAAGAGTTACAGTCACTGCTTCATTATTATAAACAGGAAAAAATATTTATCCACTTTCTCTATTTGTCACTATTTGCATTATTAGTTGTGGCGCAGATACGGTAAGCAGAAAACTGGTCATGACTGTAGTACCCAGTGTAGGATTTCTGGGAGATAATATAAAGTGTTAAGAAGGAGATACCAAAATTGAGTTTTGGTCTTTGGCAATAAAGATACAATTCTATCACAGAATGTCCTTAGCATAACTTTGGAGGTAATACCTTGGAAGCCTGTTTAAAGGCTGCTTCCTAAGGACAACAATTTACCTTTTTTATACAAGACAGACTGCTATCAGTACAGCCTTAGTTCTCTGAACTCCAGACCCATTTCCCTTCTGCTCTTGCTCTGCTTGCTATGCTTAGCAGAATTTAAACAGTTTTGAATCTAAACTTTCAATTCCATTACTATATTTGTAAATACACAAATGTTCCAGATAGTGAATACCTTTATTTCACTTCAAGTATTATTTTACTTTAGAAGCCACTGCTTGGGATTTCCACTCTGTGTCTTGAGGCATAAGTTAATATTCACCATCAATAGAGGTATAACAACCCAACCTCTCACATTCACCATGCAGAAGATAGATCTGAAAAGCAACAAAACTACCTCTGGGGCTCTTGTCCACGTGCTGCCTTGATAGGGAGTGAAATGAGTAAGCTGCAAGGATTCCCCAGCTTCCAACATGAGAAGTTCTGCCATTGCTCTTTCCTACTCTCATCACTGCAGACTCCTGGGCTACATGGAGATTTCATCTCCACTATAAAATGTGAAGCTGGTAGCTCCCTCGTCTCTCTGCTTAACCTGGGATATGCTTCTGCATTACCATGATCATCACTGAGTGATTACATAAGGTGAACATACATTATATAAGGAGAATGTAAAACAGAATTAATGGCTATAAAATTAAGTCACAACTGAAGGAGTGGAAGCACAGCTGTTCATATTATTTAAAACTAGATTGCACAGATCTATTACTACTAAATGACAGAACCCTGGTCGGAAGGAAGACAAGAAAAAAGTGTTTCTCTCTCACGTCCCTGATGTTATGATTGCTTAAATCAATATTATCCCAGTATCCCCCAAGCTGAGTCAAAAAGATTCATGCAATTACTTTACATAACCAACTTCAAATTAAATTACATAAAAGGTCATTTTTCCCATAACAGTCTCATTTGCATTTTGTCCTAGAAATGTGTTTCCTACTATCAATTACAGGAAAAAAAAAAAAACAGAACAAAACAAACAAGCCCTGGTTATGTGCCCTGGCTTATTACTTAATACTTGAAAAGTGACTGTTTTCTGACTGGGAAGAATAAAAATTAGAAGCAAAATGGGCAAGATAGAAAGTACAGTGCATAATTCTGATCCATAGCAGTGCAGGCAATGTCATTCCGGGGTTCTGTTTTCATTTCCCCAATGTTTTCCTCATTTATATTTTGAAATGTATACCAAGTAGGCTGAGGCAGAAAACAAAGTTGGATGTCATTACAGGGTTTAATTTCTTCTGAAGCCCACCCAGAAGCTCTGCTCCACGCAGATGGTAATGGCAAAAGACAATATTGTCTGCATATGCAATCTCAAACCATTCGGAAGAGTGAAGAAGTATGTCTCTCAGAGAACTTGTGATCACTGATAAAGACAGAGGCTATAGCACACAGAAAGAAAACTTCTGCTATTTTGAATTATAGAAATTAAAAAACCAAATCTCAGTACTAAAACAGATATCCAGGAGAAGATTAACTGTGATACAGACTGAACCAAAAAGTATGATCCAGGGTACTAACCTAAGTATTCTTGAGTTTAATCTGCTCTTTGTCAAAGACTCCTCTTAGATCTTTGTGAAAACGGAGATACTTTCTGCGCCTATAAAACCGGTATACTAGATCACATATTGCTTCCTCACCAGGAAGGTTAAAAAGTACACAGGCATCCCAGGCTGCTTTGAACCTGCAGAAGGACAGCTCATCTGACGATAACTCTAATTAGTTTTGCTCATTGCTTCAGTATGCTTAGCAAATACTTCTATTCTGTGAGAAAAGGGCTTGAAGGCCACTCTAAGACAGATGTATTTGTGTCACCCGACCTAATCAGTGTTGCTGCACTCACCCTCAGATCCACACTCCTCCCAAAACATGCATGTTTGCTCAGAGCAATAACCCAATCCAGCTGACCCACTGCCAGGCCTGCATTCTAACTGTTCATCCCTCCTATAGACAACAAAAGACAGCAGCTGTTTTCCCACACTAATCATACCCTGAGCAAGGTTAGTTTCAGCACAGCAATATTTTAAAGCCACCTGAAACAAACAAACTGGTTTTGTTAATGAATGTTATTTAAAAAGGGAAGAAAAAGAGTTAAGCCATAATCACAAAAATTACTACATTCCCATTCTACATGTAATTTGAAGTGGGCATCATAGGTTAATGAAAAAGCTGCTAACATACTTCTAAATTAATTTTTTCTTAAATTATAGTAAAAGCCTTCTGATAAAGGACTTATAATGAAACTCTTGAAAATGAGACTAGAAAACAAAACATCTCTTACTTTACTCCTAAGTAAGACTAAAGTTAATATTTATATTTGAAGAAAAATGCACCTAAATATGACTGTACTTCACACCGTCACCAGAAAGAATGCAGCTGATATTCATTGCTTACCATCAGTGTAGACCAACAGTGACAATTGTGTAGTTTAGTAGAGAAATACACTGGATCATGCTCAAGCATTAAAACAGCATGCATCTTTCTTAATTATTATTATAATTATTTCCTGATTTTCCAAATTTAAAACACTTCTGGTATGAATTCCTACTGTTAACAACAACACATATTTCTAGGTATTCACAAATCCACTTTGGCTACACACTGCTCTATTTTTTTCAGATTATCCCAGATCTTTTTTACAGCTACACCTCTTTTATAAGCAGTATTAAGATATATGAAGCTATTTAATTTCCAAATCCTCCTAGGAAAGTTTACCCTGGGTATTTATATAAAAAATAAGTTGACATGAATAGAGGATCTACACTGCATAAGTTAATGTGCCTTACTTTCTCTTGAGGAGCTTCTACCTGTCATCTGCCCACCACCCTTGCTTGCCATCAAGAGCTCCAATCTGAGTCTTTACATTTACAGAAATATTTTTCAGGTATTTAAAATACTATCTAAAATAGTATTTTTAATTACCTAAGATACTTTAGGTACTTAAAATACTATCCTCTCATTCATATTCAAATCACTGATTTTTTTAAGACAGAAGCACAAACTACATCATTAAAAGTGCTCTCAATTACTTCAGTGAGCTTTGAAGCAGTATTCGTGAATAAGTATTCTTGACTTGAAATACAAATGCTTTGTAATAATGGTATCTGCATTTTTTTATCATTAAGAAGGCTAATGTACGCTTGCATCTGATACATGGAAGGAGTAGAGCAAGACTTCATAAGCAGGAACAAAGTCTAGCCATTTCACACGTGCCATTCATTAGTTTCTACTATGAACTATCACAATACCTCCTTTTATGTCTTCTGGTGTCTAAAGCAAAAGCTTACCATTAGGAATCTGTTAATAAAATATTACTGTTTACCTCAGACTGCAACACTAATCATCCATTTGCATCAGTGTGTATGTGCACACAAATATGTGCATATAAAGTTGAAGTCAGACAAACCCTAAACAAATTTCTTGTCAACCTGGAATTTGTAGACTAACAATTAAATGACTGCATACAGGTGAACACTGAAATACAAAGTATAAGAACAAGAATAAAAGAACAAAAGACAAGAGTGCCTTTCCACAGGCAAAAATACAGAGCAAGGGGTCTCCTACTCAGTCAGCAAAACCTGTCCCAGTTTCTCACAAGTGAACAAGGGCCCCAACAGACACAGTATCACAAATAGAGGTAGAATGGTTTATGGTTTTATGGATCCCAGTTGTGTCAGGTGAGGCTGCCTTTTCACAACATGGTATAAACCTGTCTAATATTTTGCATCCTCGCCTTTCTCCTCCACTTGTAGCCTGCCACTCTGCTGAAGTTCACCAGATTTCTTCATGAGCTGAGTCAACCCAAGAACTCTCAAAAAATTACTCCAACAAAAGCAGCAACAATTACAAAAAAGTAAGTTTATGACAGTTTAGGGAACTGAATCCACTCAGAAAACGGACTCAAAAGTCCCAGTACCATCAAACAGAGAGGACACGGGATTCTGCATGAAAGTATCAGAGAAGGGAAACACATCAGCTAATCAACAGCACTTGAGCCTTCAGAGCAGACCAGAGTATCCTCAAGTCTATGCTGGAATGCAAGCCAGCTGAGTTACCTGAAGATTAGTCAAATACACCTTAGCAAAGATAGCAAAGGAACATTTGAGCTTCAACCACCACAAGCCTACTGCCACTCAAGGTGACTAAATCCTGTTGTTGTGCCCTCAGTCAGGAGCTAATAACAAGCTGGATGCATTAATCCCCTACGTAGGACTGTATCACAAAGTTGCCAATTACATCATGAAATAAAGTAGTTCTGGTGCAAAGAATATTCACCCACAAGCTCACACACTGAGTCCTGAGGTAAGAAAAATCTGTTCTGCTCCTTAATGAGACTAGAATTTGGCGAGGTGCCAGTCATGTCCAGTGACTGCCAATCTGGCAGTGCTGTCTGTTTCCAAAGCAGGATGAGGATTCTGCCACACTGGATTAATGATGAACAGGGGAGAAAGGAATCTCCATGGGATTTATAAAGGACCCATGAATGATGAGCTATAAGCATCGTCTGTCTGTTTTGTCTTTTTTTCTAATAAGGAAGAGGTTCTGCCTGATGAATGCCAGCTGAGGTGTGAGGCTTGTATGGAAGGACTGAGTCTCACACCACGCAGGTCAAGAAAGCATCTACAGCAGATTGGCTGAAGACAACCTTTTAAAATGTGATCCTTGTGAAAGGAAACCAATCTGTTTATTTACTTATATTTCTCTTCTGACTGTTACACATTTCTGAAATTGAGTTGTTTGGGATGTTGCAAAGAAACATTTGCATTTGTGTTTATGTTAACCTAGTGTATGAGCTAGTAATTTCAAGGTGATGCCCATTACTGTGCATGAGTATTAAGACCAGGTTGCTGAAATACTCTGATAAAATGCCATATCCTCCAGACAATGCTACAGCGAATACAATGGGTGCCAAAAGGTGACTCTAAAGATGCTGCACAAACTCACTGGAGAAGCAACAGTATTGAGTAAAGAAAAAACTTATCTTCAGTTAATAGTAGAAGCACTGGCTGAAATGAAGCACAGTAGCACGGTACAGTTGAACTGATGTTTATTTTACGTATTTCATGTCACCTACAAATGTTTTTTCTTGATTTTGATGTACTTCATTTACTATTTTGTCACTAGAAGTATGTATTTTGCCTTCTGTAAAGTAGGCAAAAAAGTAACTGCCAATTATACTGTGCATTATTTAAGAACTCTTAATTGCATACATCTAATAGATACATTTTGGGGAGGGGGAGAAGGGAAGACTGATTGGGGAACATGTCAGTCTATAAATATAAAAGAATAATAATCAGAAACAACACCACTCAAGAGAAAAAAAGAAACTTTCCCAAATGGAACAAACCTTTAAAACCATCAGGATAGACTTCAGGAAGGAATTTAGTGCTGATTTCTCCTTGAATAAAGCGTGGATGGATGATCACTTCTCGCAGCAAAGAAATATTGTGAGCTACACCTGAAAACAGGAAAAAATGTCAATACAAAATCAAGTAAACATATGAATTACAAATTAACAGTAGGAAACAAGTTCTAAAAATATGAGCTCTTATCTCTGTGGAATAAATATTTGTTCACAGTTTAGAGACCATGGTACTGATGTAATCAATGCAAATTTACCAGTTTTATTCCACTCCTGCCCCAAGATGCTCTCCTTAAACACTTGGTTTAATTAGGAAGTAGATGTTCCAAATTTTCACCTCACCAAGCCTAATTCAAATAGCTACTTAAGTCAGTAAGCACAACCAAGAGACTTTTGGTTCAGCCCCAGCAGATGTTGGCAAGACCCAAGTCATCTGCTTGAAATAACAGTTAGTCAATTGCAACAAACCCTGGCTCACACTGTCATCCTGCTACCTTAAATGCACACACTCCTGTGGAAGATATGCACCATGTTACACCCCAATCACAGTAACGAAAGACAGGAAGAAGTTTAACACTTACATATATTTTTATAGCATTTTTATCATTTGTAAGTCGTACGAAACTCTTGTGAAACTTAGAAAACAAAGCAATCTATTGACTGCTTCATATGTAACTTATCCAACCTCACATGGCCAATTATTTTGTTGAATGCCCTGTTCCCTCTTTAGCACAATTCCATGACCCTGCTAGGCATATAGGTCCTCCACCCAAAAAATATTTCTTTAATTAAAATATTAGAGTTTTTATAGCCACCTTTGTCCATTAATTTCTTTGAATATTTTTTTCTTTTTTTTTTCTGAATTTCCTTTCATTCAGTGTCTTAGCCTGTCTCCTCTTTATCTTTTTATTTCTTTCTTTCTATATTTTTTCTTTCCCTTCTTTTCCCCTGCTCTTTTGCACCAGCAAAGAAAGACAACTTCTAACAAACACAACCTAAAGCTACATAGCTCAAAGGGTGCTGCCAGTGTCAGTCTGGTACTTGCACACAAAACAGTAAGTCTTCTGCCCCTTCCTCAGAGATGAGTAAAAGATTATCTTTTTTTCATAAAGGAAAGAAATAAACCATACCCCATTTCCAGCACAGACTGGAAAAAAAAACAATCAGGAGTAGATGTCAGCACAAGATAACGCAGTCAGGTTAGATAACACTGGGAAAAAAAATGCCTACAGAAAGATTCTGGAGTCAGTGAAAATGTTTAAAAACAGGTTAAAGAAACATCTGTCAGGCAGCAGATATAGTTGGCATACTTTAGTTCAGTGGGACAAGATGTCTTTCTGAAATCCTTCAAGCTTTACTTTTCTCTGATTTTAACAGGGCTGTGTAACTAAGTTAGTAACTTAATGCTAAATTGCACTTTGCAGTTTAGCACTAAATATGATGGTCATTAGAAGTAATTTCACTGAAATACTAAGTACAAAGAAGTCTTCATATGAGGTGGGAGAGGAAAGGAGGTACAAAAAAAAACCCTGAGAAAAACATCCCAAATCCAATCAATTTTCAAAGATAAGATACCTTCTATTTTGAGAAGAGCACACAGCTTGTCTCTTGAAAGAAAAGTTTCAGATTATGCAGGTAAGAGAAAAACACCATCCTTATCTGAATTCTCTTCTCAATTTGTGAAAGAGATTGTAACACAAAACTTGAAGAGCTATGACAGTTTAATCCAAATAAGACTACACAGAATAACACTGCCTTGTAAACATTAATATTTCATAAGAGAAGCTGAAATAAATGTGAAACTCAGGAGCATAAACTGTAAGCACTGGCTGCAGCTGTTGCATCTATTACAGGTATGGATAAATGAAGAAGCTGCTATAGGAAAGAGTTTATCCAGCCTCAGTGGTGCAGCATGCACATTCTCACCCCTCAGGAAATACAAAGGAATTCACGTTCTTTCCTCTCAGGCAACTGCAAATCACACTGCATTTGCAAGGTCACCTGAAGTTTGGTGTTAGGTGCATACCAATGCAGAGCACATCACAAACTAGTTTATCTTGTAAAAATTTGTCTGAGCATCTGTATCACTTTAAAAGCACAAGATTCTAAAATCAACTTTAGATATGTTTACTTACAAGTTATTATGATTTAAAACAGTGATGGCATAATTCAGTTATTTTCACATTTTTCTCTAATAGCTCTAGTTTAAAATAATATGAGTTCGAATACATTGTAAACTCAGGTCTCTCAACTATAAATTAAACTATTTGGACTTATTCTCCTATCGAGATCTCAGCAAAGGAAAGACACTAGCAGTACGATGACTGCAAACTGCTGTAGCTACAGAAGGAGATTCTTTTGCACTCCTACTTCTTTTCCCTTTGTGCTTTTCCAGTTTAGAAGCATGAGTAGCATTCTTGTTATTTTATATGCAGACCAGTTCAAACACAGTTTCAAAGCTTTTTTCCCCTACGGTATGCTGCTGGTGTGAATTTTCAAGCTCTCTGTGTGGCCGTCACGGAAACCACTTTCAGAACAGAGTCAGACTCAGTCTCATTGAATCATGAAGTCATAGCTTTAAAGACTAGTTCATGAGCCATTAAGTAGCACATTACACAACCAGATCAATAATGACAAGATAAAAATCTGACCATTTGATTAAAAGAGGATCAGCCTCCTTGCTGCCTGTGACCTAGTCATTCAGAGACCCTGATTTAATAAACACTGATTGAAACTCGCATCTGCACTAAACAAAACATTTCTAAAAAATCTTATGCTAAATGACTAAAACTTGGAAAAAATGAAGTCTTTCTTTTGCTGCTACAAAATCACCCCTAAATTTTCCATTTGAATAGTAATTTGAATCTATTTGAATAGATTTTAATCTATTAAGTATAGCTTCAGGACTATAATGAGAAGACAAAGAGGAGTCCCTCAGTGCTCCCCAACTTTGAATCCAGGATTTAAACACACTACAATGTGTAACCAGATCATCTCATGCTTTTCTTTCCTAAACTGCTACAAGATCCCTGGTGAGATGATGGCTGATGACAGATGACAGAGCTTGGTGTCTCAACTGACTGCCCCAAAAGACCTGAAACCAAAAAAGTACTATGAATGTCTTAATTATTTCTAATTCCTGCATCAGAAAAATCAGAGGCTTTGGCAATGTTTTAAGCTCAAGAATTCCTTTAACAAGTTCAATAGAGCAGACAAGCCTACGTGTTTGGGAAGCAATAAAACATATGTATTTTACATATGCAAATTAAAAATTTAATACACAAGTTTCCTGTTAAAATAGCCATGAAAGGCTATCTTTATCAGTCCCCATGAGCCTTAATTGAGCAATGACTGTGTGGTTGATGTGCTTCTCAAAACTGAGCTGATACCTTTAGTGATGTTCCAAATCATGTGGCTTTAAAAGAAAAAAGTACCAGTGTAATCCTTCAGAAGTCTAGAAGTTTTAGATTTGCAATTTAGCGTGACCTCTGTCAAAGTTCATAAGGTCTCCATCTGTGTGTGAGTAACTGCGAGGCTACAGAAATATGGACCCCTAGAGCAGCTTGCTCCTGACTACCTGCTGGTTAGAAAACACTGGCCAGACATTAGCCCCGCACTCTCACAGGATCAAACAGAGGCTAACAGGCAGTGCTTATTTCATGCAAAGTTAGACACTAAACTGAAGTATATTGTATTTATGTTGCAGTGGTTTTCAGGGAATTTTTCTTTTTCTTGATCAGGTCTGCAGCTTGCAGGGAACAAAATCACATTTGTTAACCTGACCAGCCATGACATTACCAACAAACAAACAAAATCCTAAACTATATCAATTTATTTCCCCTCTAGAAAACAAAATTTCACTTCAGCACCATTTTTTTACACTGTTAAGACTGATGCAGAACTACAGTTACAGTTATACTCTTCTTTACAGTTATATTCTTCTTTCCTCTAAGTCAAAATATAATAGAAAATGATAGTGTTTCTTGTACTCTTATTTTTTCATTTCACTCGGCTATATTTTTCATACATTACATCAGTAGAAGCTAAATTTAAGACATTCTTCTTAGATTTCAATTTTTACACACTGTTTTCCAGAATATATTTGTAATAGACAGCAGACTAGCATTTAACTTCTGAATATCTAATGAAATGTAAAAATTTATATATTTGTATGTTTTATATATAACAAACATGTATTCCTGACGTTTAATTAATTTTACAGTTAAATTGTGTGGTTATTGCCTAATGAATATATAAGCACATTAAACAATCACTTTTTTTTCACCAGAACTGATCAGTAACCACTAAAATAAATAAAATAAAAATAAAGTACTCCCCATACCGCCTGCCTCTATCTTGCCTCCTTCCCTTCCTTATTCTTTGGATTAGATCTGCCTTAAAACCTTGTTAAATATACCAGATCTTTCATTAACTTACAAACTGTAGCCTTATTCCTATCCTATCTTCCCAAGAAAACACAAAGAAAAAAAGGACAATTAAGTTTATATAAAACAAAAGTTTTATTGCAGGTTTTGTGAACAGGATACCACACCACATTTTTACTCACTAAAAATCAGAACTTGGAATGCCAAGGCATAAAACCATAGGCAATGTTTTCACTATAGATATTTACTGACACTAAACATATTCAGTGTTGATTAGCCTTTTTACAGTATTAAGCTTCTGTCATCTTGACGTCTGCAAACACAAACCTGCATTTATCCATGTAAACTTAATTGGAGTCCTACATGTCTTTCTGTAGGTAAGCAGCTGCATAGACTTAACTTGCTGATAATTTCAAATTGTGCTAAGTGGAATAGAAAGAACTTTTTCTGCGTTCTTACTGATTGCAAAAACAACACGTAGAGTACAGTACTAGAGGCTTCTCTTCTTAAAAAAACAGCAAAGCTAAATTATCACCAATCAGTTTAAATGCTGAATAAGAATAAATGTTATGAAGTTTAGGAGGCATCCCATCTAACCAAAAAACATAAAAATATTAACCAAGCTCTACACCGAGCATTATGAGACACTGATTATATAACTCCCCACTTAAAGGCAGAACATCATCACAGATTCGCACAAACCATAAAATC